TTTTTTTTTTTTTTTTTTTTTTTTTTTTTTTTTTTTTTTTTTTTTCATGAGAACAGGAAAAGAGGAAAAAAGCCCAACTCAAGTAACAGCAGAGTGTGTTTTTAGTACATAAAAGACGCAAAGACAACTCTCTTTTTCTATGGCCTCCATTGGCAGCCCTCAAGCAGATAAATAAGGAAGACACCTGCAGTAAGGAATCTACATCTGTCCCAACCCCACACACCAGGAGCACATCTTCTCACCCACACAGCAGCACTCCCCACTCCAGGAGCTGTGCCGTGCCCTTATAGGGCCACGCTTTTTTTTCTGGAGCCTTTCTTTCCTGACAGACCAAAATCCCAGCAGGTGGGCAGGGCTGCCATGGTTTCTTTCTTACCCAGATCCATTCTACCAGCCGCATGTGAAAGTGAAGCCCTAGAAAGAGAGTGTTCAAGACAGCCCACCTGCTAAGCAGAATCATCACATGATTTAGGTAAGGAAAGACCTCTGAGATCATCAAATCCAACAATAAACCCATCACTACCATGTCCACTAACTGTGTCCTTCAGTGCCACATCTTAACAAGCTATACAGGGGTGAGGTGTACTTCTACTGCGTGCTCTGGTTGAAGGGAAAACAAGCATCTTCATGTGTAATAGCGAAGGCAGGATGGTGCTGTGTGAGTAAGGAGAGGGTGGGGGTCTCTGCATGCAGAAGGAGAAGGGGAGGCATGAAAACTGGCTTGGAAGGGGAAAGGGAAAGAGAAAATGGGAAAGGAAAAAGGAAAAAGGAAAATGGAAAAGGAAAAAAGGTGTCGACCAGACGCCTTCCTGTCTACTCCCACTACTGCTGAATGCTTTCCCTGTGCCCGAAGCACCCCTAACATCTCCGGGGGGGCTCTGTGGGTCCAGCCCCTGCATCTCCTATAGGAAGTATACACACGTTGGCTGTCCAGCAGCCCCCGAACTGCCGGAGGAAGGCGCGCATTGGGACGAAGCCTCCCGACCGTCGCCCGAGAGCTCACTGGGGGGTCCGGAGGTGCGGGGGCCGTGAGCTCCCGCAGGTGGGGCCGGGCCGGGGCCCCCATTTCCAGGGGCTCAGCGCCACCCAGCGGAGCCGCCGGGCCGAGGCACGGGGGGGTCCTGGAGGCGGGGAGGGGGACCGTCCTGCCCTGGGGCACTGCGACTGAAAGGGACGCATCCGTGCTCGGAGAGCAGCGGGCGGTGGGAGGCATGGCTTTGACACCTCGCTCCTTTTATGTACTGTTTTATGTATATATGTGTGTACATGCATATATGTGTGTATAGGGGTATGTAAGTATGCCTGTTTGTGTACATAGGTATGCACATATGCGTATGCATATACGTATGCATACACACGTATATGTACATATATATGGGTTTTTTGTTGTTACTGTTTATTGTCGTTGTTTTCCACTGTTGTGGAAGAAGAGGTGGATCCGCAAAGTCCCGGTGCACGTGGGAAACCCAGCAATAACCGTAGCAGGGAAAGTTACATAATAATAATAAAGTAAAATAAATAAATAAATAAAATAAAAAGGAGAAGTAAATCATTTGGAGGGGTTTAAGGCCCGAACTCCGTGTTTCCCGAAGGTCAACGGTGTGGTTCTGACGTTGGTTAAGGAGCTGCTTCTGCTCTCAAGTACGCTCCCCCCTCCCGGCGTGGTGTGCGGGATCGTGCTTGGAAGGGAGGAAGCGGATACCGAAAGCGACTGCTGATGAACTGTCCAAACCCTTCGAAAAAACTTCGAGGCTCCGAGGCGGCTCATCCATAAACACCCCCGGATGAAGGAGGAGGATGGAGGAGGCACAGAGAGAAGGAGGGTGGGGGGGACGCAGAGGCACAGCCGCCCCTCGTTCCCCTTTGATCCGAGGGGCTGCGGAGGTGTGCCGTGGTGTGTATGGGCAAGGGGCGGCCGGCAGCCCCTCTGCCGAGGTGCCAGCTCGGCTTATTACTTTTTTTCCAACCTCCGTTCGTAAATCGCGCGGTGAGGCGGCGCTCGGTAACGCGGCCCTACCTTTGAGCGCCTCGTTCTGTTTTATGGGCTTCACTTAAAAATTAATGAAAACCTCGAGCGCGGAAGAGGTGGGGCCGCGTTGCCGGGCGCCGCCAGGCCGCGGGGAAGGCGGGGATGGGAATGGGGGGGGAAAGGAGAGAGCGGCGAAACCTGCTCCTGATTACCTCCCTCCTGGCAGCGGGCAGAGCCCCACTCCGCGCCCGCGGACCCGCCCCGACGGAACCCCCTCCGACGCGGGATGCGCTATCTTGCAGCCCCGCAGCCCCGTGCCTTCTTTGGGATGACCTTCGCCTCCGGGTGCGGAGGGGTCGTGCAACAACCTCCGGAGCTGGCGCAGAGCTCTGTACCTGCTCGCACCCCGTAACTTTCCACTCGTTTCACCCCGAGCCCATCCCGTTTTATTTACAGTCACAGAGGATGCTCGAAGACAAAAGAGCTTTTTTTTTTTTTAACTCGCTCTCTTTTTTCCTTTTTTTTCCTACGTCAAAGATGTTTTATATTTTTGGAAGGGCCACGTTTCCTTTTAAAGAGGTGACCTATATCCTGACCTCTGCGGGGGGCTTATTTTGATGCTCCGGAAAGCGCAGAACCAGGAGGGGACAACATCTTTAACACTGGCATCTGGTGTAGGAAAAGCGAAGTCCCTCTAGCACAAACACTCGGTGGAAGCACTTGGGGGATGCATGGGGACGCAAAACCCCAAACAGGCGCTATTATTGTCCGAGCAGAGCTATCGGCTCGGCTGCCCACAACTTTCCTCCGTCATCCCGAGGGCAGCTGCCCGGAGGCCGTCGGATGTTCCTCGGCCACGGTTCCGCTCCACGAAGGGATGAGGTGATGGGGGCTGTGGAGACAGAACAAGGCCCTTGGGGAGGATGTCTTCGTGCTGCCGGGGCGTTGGGTGCCACTTCTTATATCACCCGCTGAAAAACACTGCCCCGGGGGCGATGGGTGCTGCCCTCGCGGCTGGCTGCGAGCCCTAACGCTGTTAACTCTCCTTCCTCAGGCGCCGAGCAAAGCTACCCCGGGTCAGGGAGCTGCGCAGCGGAGAAGAGAGAGAACGGTTCCAATCCCACTAATTCACAACCTCTGCCTTCACGACCCGGGCTGAACTTCCCCCATCCCCAAGCCAAGCGCTGCTGAAACATACCCCAAGGTACCCCCATGGGCAGGCAGCTCAACCTGTGTGGCCACCCCCCGGGTGGCAGCCTTCGGGGATTCAGCTATGGAAAGCGTTACTTCCAAGGAGTCAGGAGGTCCAGGAGCAGCACAGGGACGCGGTACGGTTGCCGCCAGCCCCTTTCCCATCCAGGCCTCTGTGCCCCCCACCCCCCGGTGAGCGCTGGGCTGCGGGCGCTGTGCGGGAAGGGCCCTCGGGCAGCCGAGGTGCGGGATGGAGCTGCAGCACCCCGACACGGACAGCGGGAGGGAAATCCGCCTGTGCTTAAGGTTAAGCACTTGTACAGGGCTGGGAGGAGGGAGGGGGGTGGAGGATTTGTTGGAGTTTCGGGCTTGGATTTAATCGAAAAAACTCCTCCGAGACTGATGTGAAAAAAGGGGAAGGGGAGGAGAAACAAAATATACATATGTTTTTAAATGAAAAATAAAAGAGTGGGCTCCCAGATAGCCGTAAACGTTTATCTTTCTTACTTCTCTCTCATTTTCTCAACGGGTTTGGTCTCTGTTGTTTCATTCAGCCCCGAAGCAGAGAGGACAGTGGTATGAACGCAAAACTGAAACCGCAATAATGAAGAGATTTCCTAGAATAAAATCGATGATTACAGAACAACGTCTGAGTAACCAAATCTGCCAAAAAGTTCAATTTCCGTACGCTCCGGCAAAACAAAGCCGTCCTTCTCCAAAACCGGGATCAGCCCAGAGATGGATACACCAAGCAAAACAAACACCTCCAGCACCAAACAGCGAACGCTCTTCTCTTCAACCACGGGGCTCCAAAAACACCTCTGAAGCCCCGCGTCCCCCTCAGCTTTGCACCGAAGACAAAACGAAGGCGCGTCCCTTCGCGGTGACATCTGCCCCAGAAGTCGTCACCCCGCTCCGACCCGACGAGGCTGCCCAAACGAGTGCACTTGGGGCTCTTTTGGGCGACGTCTCCACCCGGGGGTGGCACTCACGCGGACAACCGCGACCGAAGGACCGGAGAGGGGAGGGTTGGGAAGCACCAAAGCACGGGTTGTCTCAAAGCACCGCCGATCGCTCCTTGCAGGGGGTTCGGTGGCTGCGAGTCGGCCTTCCTCACCCCTCCAGGAAAAAAATAAAAGGTATCTATTCTGTTTGTTTGTTCGTTCGTTCGTTTTTAATTTGCGATGGGAAAAGTTTAAACCGATGCCTCGGGAAAGGTGCACACGATTTACCGACCGATCCATCTTTTTATTATTATTTTCTATGAACAATGTGTACTAAACTTTGCCAGACCAGCCGTGTTCCCTTATCCGACTCTCAGGTACCACCGAGCCATTTTCGGACACATTCCCATGTACGGAGCAGCGGTGATCTGGAGGAAGCTGTCGACGCCTGTTCAGTTAATTTAGGTTTTCTTTGTCTAATTACTGAGGAGCTTAGGGAAAAGGAGCCGGGCTCAGGGCAGTAAACTGACACTTGGGCTCTGTGTGTGGTATCCAGGCAGAGTTTGATGGAAAAAGCCTGCTTCCACTCAGCTGCAGGTCACTGTCTGGGACCGGCCCCCCCGCCCCTACCCACCAGCGAGCTCTCTGCACGAAGCTGCGCTCAGACGGACGGACACACGGACACCCGCACACACAGCAACGCGTCCTTCCCACCCCCGCAGCATCTCCGCCCGCTTTGCCCCTCCTGTCCCCGGTTTGTTGCTCCTCCGTTAGCCGAGAGCAGCCCAATGCCCGCGGCCCCTACCCAACCCCGGCACCTATCCTCGCTGGCTCCACGGCTACCCTCCGGCAAACGTCGTTTCCCATCACGGGTGACCCCCTTGTTGCACCTCCCGGGAGAGGATCCCCGGAGCAGTGCCCCGACCCCCTGTTTTTTCCCCCTTTTAATCTTAGCCGCGGGGGGGCTTTCCCTTGCACCGCATTCCCGGCGGCTCTGCAGCCCGGGGGCGGCGGTCACGGGTCGGAGCAGCGGCAGATGCAGCCTCAGCTTGTGCCCCGGTGGGGAGATGACATAGGGCAGCTCTGGGGAGCGTGGTGGTCTCTCGCTCCCTCTCGCCTCCCCCCCATCCGTCCCCGCTGTTCTCTAGGCACCAGGGGGTTCTGCGGGGAAAGTAGGAAAAAAAAAAGAACGAGAGATTGAAGAAAGAGATAGGCGGCCGCGCTGCCTTTGACTGCCGAGGATCTTGCGGCAGAGTAAGCCTCTATATGAAAGACCGAGAGTGCGGAAGAGGCTGGGGGCGGGGGGAGAGGGGGGTCCGCGCTTCCTCTCCGCGCCGGACCCGGCAGCCGCCTGTCCCCAGGTGGGGGGCAGCGGAAGAAGCGGAGCGACGCTGAGCGTAGGGCGGGGGCCGGGCCGGGACCGGGCGGGGGCCGCCCCATCGCAGCGCCTGGCTCCGGCGGAAAGCGGAGGGGACGGCGGGGAGGGAGAGATGCGCCGGGCTCTGCCGCCGCCGCCCCGCCGCGCCGAGGAGGTGCCCGCAGGACAGCGGCCCCCCCGCTCTCCCCCCTCCCCGGTACCCACCCCGCGCCGCCCCCCCCCTTCCCTCCCCGCCTCACCCCAGCCGGCCCCAGTCCCCTCCCTCCGCCAGATGACCACCGAGAGCGGCCGGCAGCGGCTGGAGCCCCCCGTCCCTCTCCGCTCCCGCAGCCCGGCGCCCGGAGCTCTCCAGATGAGCCGGCCGCCCTCCTCCGCCCTGGAGACCTCCACCTCCTCTTCCTCCACCTCCACCTCCACCTCCTCCTCCTCTTCGGCGGCGGCGGCGACCTCTAAGAGCAAGAAGGCCAGCTCGGGGCTGCGGCGGCCCGAGAAGCCCCCCTATTCCTACATCGCTCTCATCGTCATGGCCATCCAGAGCTCGCCCTCCAAGCGGCTGACCCTCAGCGAGATCTACCAGTTCCTGCAGGCCCGCTTCCCCTTCTTCCGCGGCTCCTACCAGGGCTGGAAGAACTCAGTGCGCCACAACCTCTCGCTCAACGAGTGCTTCATCAAGCTGCCCAAGGGGCTGGGCCGCCCGGGTAAAGGCCACTACTGGACCATCGACCCGGCATCCGAGTTCATGTTCGAGGAGGGCTCCTTCCGACGGCGGCCCCGGGGCTTCAGGAGGAAATGCCAGGCGCTGAAGCCCATGTACCGCATGATGAACGGGCTGGGTTTCGGCGCCTCCATCCTGCCGCAGGGCTTCGATTTCCAGGCGCCCACTGCCTCGCTCGCCTGCCACTCCAACGGCTACAACCTCGACGTGATGCCCAACGCCGTGGCCGGCGGCTACGAGGGGCTGGGCGGAGGCCACCACGTCCCGCACATGTCGCCCAACCCCGGCTCGACCTACATGGCCAGCTGCCCGGTGACTGCCAACGGGGACTACGGCCCCGACAGCAGCAGCAGCCCCGTGCCCTCCTCGCCGGCCATGGCGAGCGCCATCGAGTGTCATTCGCCCTATGCCAGCCCTTCGGCCCACTGGACAGCCTCGGGGGCCTCGCCCTACATCAAGCAGCAGGGCCTGCCCGCAGCCAACGCCGCCCCCTCGGCCATCCACCCCAGCGTGCCCTCCTACTCCCTGGAGCAGGGCTACCTGCACCAGAGCCCCCGCGACGACCTCTCAGGTAGGGAGGGGACGGGGGCGATCCTCACCGCAGCTTCGGGGCTCCTCCGGCTTCTGTAGGACGGGGAGAAAAGAGAGGGGAGAAAGGGGTCGGGGATGCTCTGTTTGGGGCCGGGAGAGAGGGAACTTGGGGGGGGGGGGGGTCAGGCGGTGTGGCTGAGAGCGTCGCTCCATCTTGTCCTACTGGGGCTGCTCCGTGGAAGCAGAGCTCTGTCGTCCCGGCTCCATCACGGCTCCATCTCGGGCCCTTTGCCATCCCGGCCCGCACTCCACCCCCCCCTCCCCTCCCCCGAGTACACCGCTCTCCGCACAGTAATAGAAAAAAGAGTTAAATATTCTCCGCAAAGCGCTGGGAGGGTGGGAGGGAAGGGGAACACAAACTAAATCTGTTAATATGGATAAATGCAACGAGATGAAAGCAGATCCAATGGATTTCTGCGACCAGAGGGAAAAAGGGGTTCTGAGTTCCACCCTCCCTACTCCCCCCTACCCCCCCCTACCCCCCCGGGTCGCTTTTTGAAGACAATGTCTCCTCAGAAAAAATCCAAGCGCAAAAATGGGTAAAAGATGTTGGGCTCTTACGGGGAAATTTTCCAAATAGCCCTTTTAAACGCGGGTCCCGGAGGTTAAGCAAACAAAGACAGTCTGGGCTGGACCACACCGAAGAGGATTTTAGCCTGACTTAACCCCTAGGAGAGCGGGGTCTTGTTCAATTTTATGGGAATTTCAACAAGTAACAAATACAGGCGACCCCCGGCCCCTCTCCCTTCTCGCCCCCGCTGCCAATCACCTCTCGGCCCCTCCGAGCACCCGGCCACGCTGCGGGAGCCGCTGCGCTTTTGGCTCCGATAATAAGAAATGCAAAACAAGCAACTAAAATGAACCAAATACCCCATCGCTCCGGCCAGGTTCGCGAGGAGAGGCGGCCGCGGGGAGGGTCGTTACCGGGCTATGTCACTCCGAAGGGCCGCTCCGTGCCCGCGGTGCTGTGCCGTTGAGACGGGAGAACGATCTGGGGCGTTCTTTCTGTCCCCGCACGTGGGAAAGGCAGGCGGGACACCGGGGCATCCCCGTCCCTCCGCCGTTTCACCTCTCCTCTTTGGTGCCGCCGCTGTTGTTGTTTGGATTGGTTTTATTTGTTTGTTTGGTTTTGTTTGCCTCGTTTGTTTCAATTCTCTGGGGCCACGCGTGGAGTGGGGCTGCGTCTCAGCGGCCCGAGGGCAGCTCCTGGAAAAGCAAAACAGTGGGGAAAAGGAAGGTCACTGCGTGCCCCGCTGCCTCCCAGCATTTCCCGAGGCCGGAGCCGTTGCAGCCCGACCCGCTGCTGCTCAGGGACGGACGTACACGCACAGAGCGACGGATGCCTTTTTAGTGCCGCTTTGCAGAGCGGCGTTCCTCCGATTGTGGAGCTGAGATTTGGGCCCTCGGCTTTGAGAGAAACCGCCCCCGTTCCTTAATTAGATTTAAAAATAAAAATCTTTTTCAAAATTTTTTTTCTCCCCCTCCCCACACACCCCCTCCACGTGGATGCACTCATTCGTGCTGGATCTACGTAGTTTTATCAAAGTGAAGAGAGGTGGGGAAAAGCAAGCCGAGCTCTTTCACCGCTAGCGACGGCCAGCGATCTTCCTTCTCCTCCTGTCCCCGTTGCGAGTGATCGTCGCCTTTCCCTTCCTTATAATTAAACACAAAGCAAATTCGGTGACGATCGCTGCCGAGCTCGCGATGGCCCCCGGCTTTATGACAGCGATCGGGCGGGCTTGAAGCCTTACAGTTGCCTCAGATCCGAGAATAAGAGGGGAAAAAATTGGAACCAGGAGGCTCGGTTCTGCTGAAGGATTCTGAGACGGGGCCGGGGGGGCGGCACGGATTTTTTTCGCACGCCATTAAATCCCGCTAAATGATTGAATCAGGATTGTAATAAAATGGCTCGGTTTATGGCGAGCATACCAGCAGGGTTATTAGAAAGCCGAGGAAATCCAGCGAAATAATCACTTTTATAAAGTGAGCTCTGCGGGGTGAAGGAGGGGACAGTGCTGGAGGAGCTCCGTGCCGGGGTCTGCGGCCGAAACAGCAACAGAGGCTGCAATGCTGAGAAACTATAGATATCCCTGATTATTTTCCCCCCCCCCCCCCCCTTTTTTTTTTTTTCCTTTTAAAATTATTTTTGTCCCCTCCCTTCTCTCTCTTTTTATTTACTTTCATTTATTTTATTTTACTTCGTGCACGTATGTGACCCTTCGGTCAAGTTTTGACATGACCCCTCCAGCCGAGTTTGACACCCACACTCCAAAGCAATCTCCCTCTGGCTCCATCCCGCAAAACGGTTCCCCACTCACAGCAGCGTTCCTCCCGTACTGCGGGGCCCGGCCCGGCACGGGGATGTCCCGCGGGGCCCTAAGGGATGCCTCGGGCTGTGGGAAACGAGAGCAAAGCCAGAGAGGTCGCTCGTTTCTCGGTGCCGTTGGTGTGCTTGGCTCGGCGGTGGTGACAGAGCAGCGGGACATTCCCT